TGTCTGTTTGGACCTTTCTGAACATGTGCAGCAAATGGACTGATCCAATATGGTGGACGCACTTTAGACTTAGATTTATTTTGTCATTTTTATGAGTGAATACAAAAATAAATTTGGTTTAAAACAGCTCTAGACACTTAATATTATAAGCATCCTGATTGCGTTTTGACGAAAAGATTTTCATCAAAAACATAATTAATGTGCACAAATAAGTAATAGCTGTATTAACCATGCATGTAAAAGGAGTTGGGGACTTGGGGCCCTATGCAACTGCCTAGTATTGCCAAATGGTAAATCCGCCCCTGCCTCCATGAGAACACTAGAAGCAAATCATCCTGAACAGAAACTCAGTTCATCTGTTACTGGAGCAAAGAAACTGGAGCTTTTTTAAAGGAATTTGTCTTTGGAAACATTAATGAGCTTTGAATTGGAGGTTCCGGCTCTCCTTCCAACAGATCAGGGTGATGGAGCTAAAATTGAAGAGGATTCGCTTCGTAAAGAACCAGTAAGGGTTCCTGCAGAGAGCCTCTGTTCAGACTGTAAAGACTCTGAGTCAGTGCGTCATGGAGGACCAGACTCCCACTCTCATCTTTATATCTCAGCTGGAAACCCGCCAGCTCCAAAGGCTGCGCGGCTAAAACAGCCGAGACGTCAAACACGTCATACTCAGACGAGGGCCTCCGGTGCAGCATCAGCTGCCTCTCTTCCAGAGCAGGAATCTCCTTCAGGTGATCCGCTGAGGCGATGATGCTGTGCAGGTTCACGGTCACGCTGAGCGGGCGGGAATGGAGGGTCTTCCTGTACAGAACCAGCTCTGCGGCCAGCATGGAAGGTTTCAGGCTGCTGATGTTGAACCAGATCCATCCTGGAGGAGCATGAAGTGGACCTGGGTGATCAGAACGGTGAAACACTGGATTATATGCTTTATTCTAACTCTGTCTCTTAATCTATCTAGAAATAAGTCAACATTTCTTAAATTAAGTCTATTCATCCTTAATTTGAGGACGTAAATAAGATGATTGGCAAATGGAATGAGTGTTTTTACTCTTAAAATGTGATAACTGCATAATATTCACTTAAAATAAGACAATGCAAAATAAGAAAATGCAATAGTTTTCTTCTTTTAAGTTTAAATCGTCTTGTTCCATCGGCAAAGAGTCTCTCTCACATCCTCAAATTAAGAAGAAATTCACTTATTCCAAGAAAAAAGGACTTATTCTGATTTAGAAAGTGGTGCTGAAAAGAACTTTCTTATGGAGTGAATTTTGTTTCATCATTATTGCAAGTAAAGAAAAAGTTACGGAAATTTCAAGAAGTGTTTTCAAGAAATGGAACTTTGAAAAAAAAAATCTTAATTTTGAATTTTGAGAGGAGCTTTGCTGTTTTGTTAACCTTTATTTTTACAAAATAATTCTTTTTCAGTGTTAAGTATTTCATTCTTTTCAAATCGCACTTTCCAGATCCTGTTCTCTTCACAACCTTTAACTTTATTCTTGTAATATTATGACTTTATTCTTATAATTTAACGACTTTATTCTCGTAATTTAATGACTTTATTCTTGTAATATTACAACTTTATTCTTATAATTTTACAACTTTATTCTTCTTATTTTATGACTTTATTCTAATATTATTATGACTTTATTCTCGTTGCGACTTTATTCTTGTAATTTTATGATTTTATTCTTATAATTTTATAACTTTATTCTGTAATTTTATGACTTTATTCTCGTAATTTTATAACTTTATTCTCATGATATTACGACTTTATTCTCATTGCGACTTTATTCTTGTAATGTTATGACAATATTCTTATAATTTTACGACTTTATCCTCGTAATTTAATGACTTTATTCTCATAATATTACAACTTTATTCTTCTTATTTTATGACTTTATTCTTATAATTTTACGACTTTATTCTCGTAATTTAATCACTTTATTCTCATAATATTACAACTTTATTCTTCTTAT